GCAAGCAGCTGTGAACAATCGAGCAAATCAGAAGAATCCAAACAACCTGGCCTACCAAGAATGTCAAGGCCAGCAACGTTCTCCAGTAGATCAACCAGCTCAGGTCAATCGAGCAAATCAGAAGAATCCGAACAACCTGGCCTACCACGAATGTCGAGGTCAGCCATGTCCTCCAAAAGATCAACTTCCTCGTTACGTTGAAGAGAAGGCCAAGAGTAAAGATGCTGCTGGGCATTTTCAAAAACGAAGCCAGAGATTAAGTGCGAAAGATAAGGTTGACAATGAAGCACTGAAACAGTTCCGTACATGCTTGCAACAAGTTATTCCTGGTGCGTCCTTTGAAAAAACTGGCTCTAGACTCAAGCGCACTGCCATTCCAGGGGCCGACCACGACTACTACATCAGAACTCCAAGACCGATGTCAGAGTTGCAGCGGGACCGCATCTTGGATCTATGTTGGGACCAAGGTCTCAGGGTATGTTGCAGCAAGGCATTCAAGCTGCAGCCCAAAACTGGGGAATCCATAGATTTCTTTCCACCCAAAGCAAATTGGCATGACAATGTGCCCTTGCAGCCCCCTGGCAGCGTGAAGCTCGACTCCGGAGCCCAGAATGCAGTGAAGCAGCTGAAAAAGAAGCAGCAGGACACCATACGTCTTCTGGGAGTGCGTGGATTCACATTGGAGCAACTGGTTTTCAAAGTTCAACGTGAAACGGGGTTGTCAAACAAGAATGACCCATCAGGCTTGAAAAGGTATGAAGAAGCACGAGCAAGGCTCAGCGCATCTCAGCATGGTGCTTTCTGTACGATTTTTTCTTGACGGATCCTTGTGATGTTGATGAATGCCTGCTCGAAAGGGAGACCACCTCTGGGTCTGAAAGCTGCATCAAGTGGCTAAAAGCATGCTAAAGCTGCAAAAGTCAAAAGTGCTTGGCAAGAAGTGTGGCAGGCCCAGAAGAATCTCCAGCAAAATTCTCATTTGCGAGTGAGAATGGAGGGAGCCATTTTGCTCCGAAGGAAGCTTCACAACTGATCCTTTCTACGCCAGTCGGCTACAACCGCGTGGTGGAGCGGCTGAACTTGGGAACTCCAAAGAAGGGGCGGCAGCCAAGGGCGGACCAACGGCATGTGCACATCCATTCGAGCTTTTGCGCTACTCTGGGGCATGGGGCCATATGGTCTCTTCGCCTTTGATCCGCACCGATTGAACTTGCTACCTCAAAACACACCACACCCATCCACACCCCAACGAACGAGCCAGGCTGCCCACCCACTTTCCGCGTTCGTTTCGTGCATGTTTCGCTGACCACTCCGCGAATGAGTCGAGGTCCTTTGGTGGGCTTCCACCAATGAGGTCCCGGTCGACGTGATGGAGTTCCTGGAGCTCGGACGCCCAGCCGGTAGCTCGTTTTTTCTGCGTCAAAGGAAGTGGTTTTGAGCCGGTTGATGATTATTAACAGCATCGGGTGCCGAAGAACATGCATTGCGGCCCAGTGTAGGGGTGAATGGTGAGGATGACTCGACTGTTTAGGCACGGAGGATTTGTTGTGGAGACATATGCAAAATGCATTTTGTTGGTGTTGTTTCATAGCAGGGTGTGATCAAGAATGTTCAGTTCAATCGCATAGTTAACAGACGGAGTCTTGAAAGAGTCTAGAATGTGTTTGTCACAGCAAGTTTAGCTCAGATACGTGTGAGTTGCGACATTCGAATCCAGGGTAAGATTCCAAACGGATGGATGCAGATTGGAAAGCAAGAAGGCGTGTGGAAGCGTCGACCAGGTTTTTGGTCGAAGAATACGACGATGTCTTCGAGGCCAGAGTTCATGCTCCGTCTTAGTTGAGGAGATGCTTCGGAACCTTCATGCAGCGGTGCTGTTCATGTGCGGCGCAAAATAATATGGGACATTCCAAAGCAAGTGTTGTGCCTATTTTAAAAAAATACTAACTATGTACAACCGGAAAGTTTTGTACATTTATTTTTTCTTCTCAAGACTGGCCTCGATACCATGGGTCAAACTATATCAACATCTTCACTGGGATGGGACACTGTCAACTGACTTGCGCAGAGCCTGACAACAGAGCTTTGTTTTGTATAGACAGACGCGAGACGCCTTGCGGCGAGTGCATGAGGCCTTCGATGAGATCAAACGCCCGTGCGAAGCTCGGGTCACGACGTTTCGATGTCAGACACTGAAGCGAAAACCCGTTTTGATGTGGTGACCCATCAACCGTTTTTTCATGTTTTTCGCCCGTAAAGGGGGGGAACAAAGTGGGGATGAAGTGGAGGGTAGACCCTAGTTCGGAGCCAGAAGAAGGATTCACTTGTCTGACCAACATCAGCCAGCGTCACAAACATCACAAGACTGTCCTGCTCCTCCCCCACGTGGGATCTTGCAAATGCAGAACGCATATCCAGGTCAAACAACCCTCGGAAGCTTCAAGTGGGAAGTGCGCTTTTATATTCTCCGAAACTGAACATGTTGATAACTCTTAGTCTTGTGCATTTAGAGATCTTTAAAATCCTTTCTAAGCACCTCAAATCTGGATGATGACGGACCCATTTGAGCATTGAGTTACTTCAGGACTGCGACCATCCTGACTCTTCGGGATTTCGAGCAGGGCTTGAGGCGGCCCTGCTAAGGGAGGAGGTATTCGTGGACCAGCGAAAAGAACGATGTTGACGAGGTTTACTCCACGCTGAAAAGCTGAAAACTGCGCCGCATCTGGGCTCTAGTGCTTAAAATGAGCCCAATGCAATCGGTAAATGAGCCCAATCTAGTTTGCACTCCGCAGATGTAAAAATGGTTCCTTTTGTGTGTCGCTTTCCTGCTTTGAAGTGTTTGTCGTGGAGGTGTGTTACAGTACGTTTTGGAAACGTGAAACTTGTGTTGGTTTGAATCCAGTGTAGTGTGTAATATGTATGAGTGTTTGGCTCCAGGGATGTATCAGTTCCCCCCCAGTCTACGGTGCGAAAGAAGAAGTGGTTCTTGCAATACCTAGATTTCTCGACTCAACACCATAGATTTTATTTGTTCAGTGGTGTTGTGACATACATGAGTATTGCAACTCAAGAATTGAAATGAATCAAGTTTTCTCATGAGCATATTATGACTTGACTTGGAACAGTTTGCGCAGAGGTTCTGGCAAGAAACCAATAGCCTCGCGACACAGATTCTGAGCAACATTGGCCCACTCTGCCACCCATTCCACCCTCAATCTCCGAACAAGAACAATGCCAACCTGGTGTTGGGGGCCTTTAAGCCTTGTTTTCGGCCACCGAACTGCCCTGCTCCGAACTTGCTCCACGGTCCTCCTCACCTCTGTCGAGACGGACATCCGGAACCCGACGGTTCCAACGCCTCCAGGGGCCGCGGTGAGGACCGGTGAAACGCGAAGAACACGCCGCCGCCGCCGTCGAACTCGGACGGCGCGTGCGTTCGGACGAGGCGCTTGAAGTGCACCAAGTTCCAGGGCCGTCGTGAGATGGAGCAGATCACCGGCACGGCCACCTGATCGGGGCGGGTCGAGGAATCGGTCTTGTGCGGTGAGGAGTCAGGTGGGACAGGTGCTCCATCTTCAGCGATTTCTCGCACTCTGTGTAGGACGAGGCCAAGGCAACTTTATTAGATGAGTTCCCTGCAACAGGCAAACTCCGACTGGCAGGCGAAAGAGGATGCCATTTCCAATAGTTGCTGGAGAAATCCATAGCCATCCGTGAGGGGTATGGACGGTATGGACATCAAATCAGGATCTCTGCTCTGAGAAAAACAATCGTTTGGTTTCCATACCGAAGTCTTGTGTGCGACAAGCCACCCGCACACCCGCACCCTCGCCGCCCAGGTGTCTTTCGCTGCTCGGTGCGATTGTGAGACGTTTGTGTGGTGCGTTTAGTGCGAACGACGAAGGGATCACCTAAGGGCTGACATGTGCAGGGCTGAGTTCCGATTTGTTGGTGACGCCTGACAATCAACTGCTGTTATCCACTTTTTAGATCTTTCCAGGCTATGCCATCCACTTCATAGATTGGGGAGAGCTGAAGCAACCATGCGCGTCTGTGCGGGGTCAGGACCAGAAGGGGCCGAGGGCCACTGCAACATGGAGTTTCCACATGGCAGAAGCGCAACCATTGATCGTGCGTTGCCGGGAATAACTGGGTTTGGCCATGTGGAGTCAGTCTTTGACCGACAAACCAAGGGAGTTTGTTTGTTTGTCTTTGACCCACTTAACAAAGAGCGCTTTCGAACTTACTTGTAGAGCTCCTTCACTTGGACTTGCCACCGCTGCACTGGAAATGACGCTGGAGAAGCTTGCACCCCAGGGGTGTGGTCGGACACCGGCAAGCGACGCAAGAAGGTCAAGGGAAGCCCAGCTGGGGCTGCTTCAGCAGCTGCAAAGCAGTGCACCAGCTCCACGGGTGTTCACCAGCTCAGCGACAGTGGGAGGGAGACCTCTTGCCACATGGAAGCACCCTGTGAAAATGGGGAGATGGCCCCTAAAGATCCCCCTGGTCAAGAGGTTCTCCAGACCATTTTCTTGGGATCTCCAGAACATCTTGAACGAAGCCAATTGCTTTGGAGTTCGTCGTGTCCTCCTCGGCGAAGTGGCAGGTCGACTGCCACCTTTTCCATTCCACGGTCGACCGAACGAAGCCACGGTCGACCTCCGTCCGCGTGAGGCTATTTGGACCCCAGTGGAGAGGGCCAAGTCTCTCGCAATGAGTGGGGCAACTGGGCTGAGCTGGATGGGTGGCCACGGTGGCGATGGCGCCCTACACCCTACACTGGCCCCCCTACACGTTCGGCCATGGCGATGGGTGTGCTGCGAACATCGGCTGCCAGGGACGGGCAGATCCATTGCATCTGGCGGCTCAACCTTTTCTTAACAGGGAATGATACACAACACAAGAAGAAAGCGTAGCGTTTGCCAAGAACCAAGAAGCAGTTTAACCATTCAACCCTTCTTTTCCATACCTCTTCTAATATGATAGCAGCCACTTGCGACACTGCCGAAGGAAAACGGATTCTTCTGTTGAATCATCAGTTCCACTGATCTTGACACTGTAAGGAGACCCTGTAAAAAAACACCGGAGCTTCGGCATGTTGTGCTGCAGCCCCACACTGGAGGGAGGAAGACCATTCCTCGTTTGCGAATCCTCCAGAAGTTCGGCCAAGGCATGTTGGAGCTTCTGCACAAAAAGATGGTGTATTCGATCAAGGACGCTGCCCCTCCCAAACTTGCTGGCGTTGGCGCGTGAGCGCGCGGCGCGCCCGGTTCCCATGTCCCCGCATTTGCGCTTTTGTGCTAAGCCACGGGCCACAGGTAAATTACTCTAAACAGCTTGGGTCCTTCTGATCCTTCTGCACACGATTGATCGAAAGACAACAAAGAGCTGAGGGGTCAGATGTGATTGAGTGATCTCTTCATGTTGACGGTCGCTTTGACGTCTTCCTCCCTGCTGCCCCTGCTGTCGCAGGAATTCGTCCATTTCTGCCAGCGTTCCTTTGGGAATGACTTGAATGTTTGGGCCTCAGAGTTGCAGATGCAAGTGTAGCGCTGGCTGTAGCTGGTGTTTTGTTTCATTCAATGGTCTCGAACAGAATGATCAAACACAGAGAGGCCCTCCCCAGATCCTACCTACCAGCCAGCTTGGAGGATGAACATTTTTGGGTCTTTGTTTTTGGTGTTTTGGACTTGATGGAAGTGTATATATATATATATATAGAGTCCGGACATTCCATGCTTTGCGGAAGGAACCTACCGACGTGCCCCATGTTTCCCCCATGTGAGGCCGCTTGGGCGGTCTTCGACATCAATGGGGACAACTACATCTCAGTCATCGCCCCAGGAAGCAGGTTGTAAAGAATTTGGGTTCCACAGCTGCGTTGAAGCATGGAAAAGCTTGCAGTCCAATATGATACAAAGCAGCTGGGTTCAATTTCTTGATACACTTTTGCAAGCCTTTTTGATTGATAGGGTGAAGGTGTGCAGCGCTGGGTGGGATGTGAGAGGACTCCAGGAGCTGGTATATCCTGGCACCTCCTGGGTCCTGGGTTCTGTTTTTCACCCTTTCACCGAAAGGTGCTGGTGTGTTTTGGAGAACAAAGACCAAGCTGAAGAGGTCGACGGAGACAAGCTCGGCGTGCCGCGTGTGTTGAAGAGACAGATTCCTGGTGGGTGTCATGGATGTGCTTTGGGCCAAGAATTCTGAACTGCTTAGAAATCACTCAAACTCAGATTATTGACATACTGTTGATGGACGAAATCCTGCACCACCTCACCTCTTTACCCTGGAAGGGTCGCATAGCAACCCCTGCGCCCCCGGATTCAATGTTGGCGCGAGAGGAGGTGGTGCAGGATTTTGGACCTTCAACTTGTTTTACTTTTCGCACTGTGGTGGCCCCAATGTTAACGAGGGAGAATCCGAGGGCAGCAAGAAAACTGTGCGCAAAGTGGCGCAGGATTTTGTCCATCAACAGTAGCTCACCCAACGAGTGGCAGCCGGAAGGAAGCCCAACTGGGCTGGTCCGAGCTCAGGAAGAGGAGTGGAGCAGCGTAGCTCGATCATGCTCATATTTTGGGCCCATCTTGCCGATCTTCCGCTTCCTGGACAAGGATGACGAGGCGTGGCCTAGACTCGGATGCGAGCCTGATTAGCTTAGCCAATCAAGGTGTCGGCATGAGGAGAGGAGATAGTTCCTGCTTCATTTGGCCAAGCTTTGAATTGAAGGAAGATGAAGATTGAAACTGAAGCGCGTGCGTCAGTTTTTGCCTTGGAGATCAAGCTGACAGTTGACATTTTTTGAATTTGAACTCAATCAATTTGAGCCCAAACTCAATCATGCAGTTCTCCAACTAAGCACACGATGTGCTGTACATCATACGACCAAATTTGTTGCGCTGCTTCTTTTTTTTTTTTATGGGTTTTCCACAACGCTTTGCCAGTGGGTTGGGTGAACCTACTTCCAACATCTTCCAACCACATCTGGGATGCCCGCACTACGGTGATTTTCTCCCGAACAGGGCAACATCTCCTTTGAAGAATTCGAGGCGAGGAGATGCGGAGATGCCCCGTGTGTTTCCAGGAGGGTTTTGTAGTGCTGCTTTGACATAGCAGATGACAGTAGTAGATGTGGATGGCAGTAGATGAGCATGCTTGGTAGGGATTCATGTTAGGACAACACTGTTTGGGCCAGGAACATGGAGTTTTTGCTGTGTGGGATGTGCCCAACTTCTGCTTCTGGGGTCTTGGTCTCAAGACGAGCAGATAAACATTGGCCAAAGCAAACCCACCATGTTCTATTTTGAGGACACACATCCATTTGCAAGCTAATTGAAGACATTCACCTCTCACCCTGTCACCGCTACACTACCATTCGCACATCGTTTGGACAGCCAAAGTCTCTCTCTCTCTCTCTCTCTCCCGTGGGAATTTGGAGAAAAATCGAGATCGAAGCGGAGGAGTTGCAGAAATTCCACGATCCTCCCAAGCCGGATCTTAAGGCTGGGACCCAGGAGCGTCGGGGGAGACGCTGCCGTCACGTCATGGTGGAGAGGGTGTGGGGCCCCCCCAGTGACCCGGAAAAAAGAACGAAGGAACCGAGCAAAACCAGGTGGCCCACAGGGGTCTTCCTTTTTGAGTGCCACATGGCCTGTGTTGGCTGATGTGGGGTGAATTTTTGGAATTTGGCAACTGCTGGAGAACTACATGGTGTCGAGTTGCTTGTCTTCATTTTTTTTGTGTGGTTGGGCTGTACCAGCACACAACACACAAAGAAACACCCGATGCTTCAAATTCTCTTGCGGCAGGACCCCTGCAAAGGTGAGAACACTGATCGGTTGGAGGGGAACTTGTACCAGTTTGAGAAGAGTCCAAGACCAATATAATATATAACTAATTTTGAGCATTTGAGTAGCAGTAGCATACTCATTGACATCCTATTCTTTTCGTGAGGAGCACACTACGCCCATATTTCTATTGCCTTTGCTTGTTCTTGGGCACTGCAATAGGCAATTCCTGCCACCCCCCATCCATCACTCCCATACGCTACGCGTGGCTCTGCCGCTAGAATGGTCGAGCCGGCCCGGCGTGTCCGCGTTGACATGGGGAGAAGACAGCGACCAAAGTCAGTGGCCGCTGTTGTCCTGCTGCACCTTGAAACATATTGGCAGAGTTGTACGTCTGTATTTCCACCCTTCCTTTGCCCCATTTTATTCTTGAAACATGTTCTTCAAGCAGGTGTTTCAGAAGAATCCGTGAATATCCTTGAGCTTCAGAGACCGCCATGGAGGGAAGCGGAAAAGCCAGTGAGTCTCAGTTTTGCAGTCTCTCAGCAAACAGTCTTTCGAGTATTATCATGTCTTTTTGTGACAACTTCAGGACGATTGTACAGCCATAAACTATCCAAATTATGCAGGGGAATCATATTTTACCAATTGTATTTCACTAAGCCACCCCTCCCAAGGTGGATGCTATGCTTGGTATGGCCTCACACCTTCCTGAAGGATCTCACGATGAGCCAGTGCAAGGTGGAGGATCAACTGGCCAGAAAGCTGGCCAACTCTTTTGTAGGTCCTGTCAGCCCAGTTTACTCGGACGTGCTCTTTCAAGGATATATATATATATACATAAGGGCCAAAACCTTTGAACATTGTGTTCCACAGAGGTTAGGAGATGTTCTGATATAGCTTTGTGCCTTCGTTTTTGGCGTTCCAGCTCAGTCAGAAGGCTTCTGACTTCCTACGACAGGTGGTGAGGGATGCCAGCGGCTCCAAGGTGTGCTTGCTGGGATGCTGCTTGGAAGGATGAACCGGGTGCATTGGTGGATATCTGCGGGGTGTGGTTTTGACTCCCAAATTCCTCGCGGTATTTTCCGGAGATCATGGCACCGTGTCATGAAGCTCTTTTGCTGACGCATCTTGAGACCTCGTAGCTGTAGAAATCATTTTTCCACTCTTGTTAGCAGCACCAGTATGGAAATCAACGAACACCACTTTCCAATAGTCAAACTCATGTTTTAGTATCACTTTGTAATCTTCTTGCCGTGGAACATGCAAGAGATAGCAGACCCAAAAGACTTGTGAAGCGCTGGTGTGTTATCAACACAGCTTCTTGCGTACTTGTGGCGACACGCCGATTGGGGCCTGCATTACCATAGGGGTTGGGTCTGGGCAATCATGGGTTGTCAGGGAATCCCAGAGCGAGACCTCCATGTAGATGATTTACTATGGCACATATATTCTTTTTGAGTACTTCGAACTGGTGAGTCCGAAGTACTGTATTCACTGAGCCTCCTGAGGTATGCACTTCAACCCCTTCTCCAGCTTCACTGCACGGCAGCTTCTCCTCGATGCACTCGCTGCACCTGCGCGTCCAGTGGAAGCAGTGGTGCTGGAGATGTTCGACAAGCGCTGGGAGCGCATGCCGCTGGGCTTTGGTGAGGTCAGGCTGCACCTTGATTTCTGAGGTGGGTAGCAAGTTCAGTGTTTGCTGTGCGGGGTAAGGTCAGCCACTACAAGGCAACCTCGCTTTTGAGTGAAACTTTATGAAATTCTGAAAGCATGAACTCATTTGACACCGAAGATTCAAGCTCTGTGCTGTGACTGGTCAATTTTCTAAGGCAGCAGCTGCATGGCGATGGGCCAATGAGGCGATCAAATTGGGTCATGCAACCCAGGAGGTTTCGAAGGTTGGGGAGGTAGTGTTTCTTTCTTTTTAAAGTGAGGTGCACTCATGAGTTTCTATCTTCAATCGCTCTCCCTTTGTGTTGCTTTCGAACATCAACCCTTGGTGGTCGTGCACTACTTACGCTACTTAACTCTCCAAAGATGATATTTGCTGGGAAAAAAGCCTTTAGAGTTCTGTTGTTGTTGCTGCTGCAAATACTGGGAGCCCTGTCATTAGTATCAATTTTTGATCATTTTTGTCTTCTATTTTTTGTCAGCAGTTGAAGAACGAACATCACTGGCGGCACATTGACCGTCGAGGTGGCAAGCACCGAAACCCAAGTCACATGAGGTGTACTCGCGTGTCGCATGGCTGCGACAAGGCTCATCTTCGACAACGAAATGCAGGCGGTGTCGGAGAACCTTGGATCAAACAATCGCATTCCAGGCATTTAAGCCCGACCCGCCTGAGAGGCAATCAATGATTCAACACTCAAACACTTGCAAAATGAACACATCGAATGAAGTCGAATAACTTCCTGCAACATTTGTAGTCGTGTGTTTCTTGGAAGTTGAGCGAACATCCACAGGGGACCACCAGGCGGACCTTGCGTTTGTTGACACGAAGTGAAACTGAGGATTGCAAACGTTTCTGGTATACCACTGGTGTTTGCAGACTTGTCTGACGAAGACTTGGACACCATCTTTCAGGACGTGGCTTCGTTTTTGTTGCGGAAGACTCGGCGGAAGACTCAACTTATCATATCACCACAGACCCAACATATCACATCGCCAGCAAATGGGTTTTAGTCAGTGTTCCTTTTTGCCAGGGTCTTGCTCGAGGTCCCCCATTGTGCTTGGTTGGGCTGCACCGGCAGGAAGTCGTGAATGAGACAGTGAATGACATCCAAGAGCCCTTGAGTGGCTGGAGGAGAATCTGGAACGATCTGACCGAATTTCTGCCCACTGTCCGTCAAGAGGAGACCGTCACGGATGGCGTTTATGCCTTTGTGTCTGGACTCTTGCTGCTTGCGATGAGCCCAATTTCCCTACTGAGAAACATCCTGGTCCTTGCGATGGAAGCCCCCTTTTCCAACACAGCTGGGCTGTTGCTCATCTTCCTCACTGTTCCTGGGATCCTTCTGACCCAAACGGATGTTGGACAAGCACCGGGGGCAAAGACAGTTGACAGCTCTCCTCTCGACGCTGCGATGTCCTACCTTGCAGTTGTGGTAGTGATCCTTTGTTGCAAGTAAAGCCTGCCAGTCAAAGCTGGTGAAAGCTCAAAGCCTGCCAGTTTCATATGCACATATAGTTACTATGCTCATGATTGCTCATGGGATTTTGCTTGCTCGTTGTGTTCGGAAAAACCACCACATAGTGCTTGCACTCCGTTCGAATAGTGTCGACACTTTCACCACCTATTCAAATAGTGCTCAGTGAAATCATCGGATGATGTTCTCATGATTTTTTGGCTCGTTGCTCAGCCCTTTCATTCTACCCAGACCTGAGAAGATCATCACACACCGTGAATTAGAAGCAGCAAGTGAACAAGTGACCATGAGTCCGGGAGCATCACAACTTCACAAAGAAACACGGCACAAGTCACCCCACCTCTCTCTCTCTGTCTCTCTCGTGTGCATGCTGCGTGAAAGCCATCTGAGGCTTCCAATGCTGGCGCTGTGGCGGGTCTTGCTGCGCGCGATCCTAAAGGAGCGCGATGAACACCTTGCCCAGAGAATCCGTGAAGCATGTGGTGGTCAAGGGAGGCATGGCGAAAAGAGGGGATGGTCCTGTGAGGGTTCGGTCCGCGTTAGTGACAGGATGTTCACTGTGTGCCGGAATTGGAGCTTGCCTGGACAAAGCTTCTTTATTCTTCTAGATATCCTAGATGTGTGATCACATATGTTGGTGCTGAGGACAGTGCTGGTGATTCTGGGGAGCTTGCATTTGGCGGGAGTGAGTCGTAGATTGCAGACCTCAGCACCTGAGCAGCCAGACAGCAGGTAGGTGTATACATGCCAGTGGGCCAGTGGTGACAGTGGAATCAGCTCGAGGATGTTTGGTGCAGCCTCATCCGAGAAGGAGAGTAGCCTACCATGCTCCAGTGTTCTCGCAGGTTCGGGTTTTTGTGGAAGTTCTCAGTCCGGCTGCTTGCTGATTTGCAACATACAGAAGCGACTTCCGGTGCATGGGGTGGAGTCTTTGCGGTGGCATTGATGGTCCGGACAGCTCTGTGTGAGGTTCCGCGGCGCACGCGGAGCCGTTGCCATCAGATCCTCCAAGTTTGATCCGAGCTGTTGCTTTTGGCTTGATGGGGAGAGAGACTGGCAAGCCCGGAAGTTCGTCTTTTGGAAGGGCACTCAGTCCAGACTTGCTCAGAGACGGGCAAACACCATGGGTTTTGGATCAGCTTTGCCAGGATGTGCTGCAGTTTCCTTGTAGGTGAAGAAGATTGCAGCCAAGCCCAGGGATGATGTGACACGGACCTTCTGAGATCCGATCCCACGAGGGCCATTTTTGCCCTGTCAAGGGCTGGTAGCTTTCTGCTTTTTTCACCTGTTCTTCAGAGGTGGCAGAACTGGTGACAGATCATCCGGTGGCAGAAAAAGGCGCACAGTGGTGAGTTTTGACACCTCCTCATACCTCCTCCACGTTGTGACCATGGTAGACATCCGGGACCATGGAGGAATCTGTTCCTTTGACCCGGGATCAACCAGGAGTCCCCCCGTTTTGACCCACTGCCACACCAGGGTCCCCCCCGTCAGGTAGTGGAAACAGGGGCTGGTTTGATCCACTGGGCTGTGCCACTAGACAAGCCTCTGGTCAACTTGGATAGATCTGGGGTGACCGGGAAATACCCATTGGTACAGTACTTCTTGCAGAATTGGGAGGAGTAGGTGAAGAGATTGGGATTGCTTGGAGGTTCCACCAAGTCCCATTTCGTGCGGGGGGAGCGGATGAAGTACCTGATGCAAGCCCCTCGAAATTGGGATCTCGGTGCACACAAAGAGGACAATCCTGCCAGTGTCTTTGGGGCCCAAACAAACGTCTAACTGATTCCCAATTCTATTCGACCAGAGGTCCACACCAGTGGTGCCTCAGCACCAAACAGCTCCTGCCTGCAAGGTGAATTAGAGACCGGCCGACCGTTACGGGCCTGGTCCCCATAACGTCCTCCGCCCACCGCGGTCTGCACCCCCCTCTGGTCTTGATGGATCCGGATCCGCGAGGCCATGGAGGAGGCTCGTGAGATGCTTGTGAGGCATGGCAGCCTCATGCGGGACCGACCCGGGGGATTTGGGATGTTCGGGCCGAATTCGGGCAGGTCAGAGTGGTACGGATTCAGCCAGAATGGCCAGAATGATGGGAATTAGGGGGGCACCTTTGGCGATTTGGCACTCAATCACAAGTAATTATCCACCGTGGATCCTTTGAAACTCACGAGAAAGAAGCGACGTCACAGAGTTCTCGGAAGCAATGAGCGCTTCTGTGCAATGTGTTGGCTCTTCATGCTTGCCCGGGGTTTGCAAGGATTGCGGGAAGCACTGACTTGACGATCCTCACCAAGAAGACGCCCTGCCTTTGGCAATACAGCAACGTATGGCAATACATGGCTCATGGAGAGAATCCTGCACCTCGATACACCAAGGGATACTGCCCCATGAATTCGCACACTGCCTCCCAGGATCTCCCAGGACTGGTGCAATTCTTTGATCCATCGACCAGCACGGACCATCTTGGAGACCCTTTTCGACCATTCGACTCTCTTCGACCATTCGACTCTCTCCGTCAGGAGCTTTTGCCGACACGTCTCCGACTCCGTGCACATCTCAAGCGAGCGCGACACGCCGGCGAAGGTGCAGACGGGTTCAAGCACCGCTGAGGGGACCTGGAAGTTTCAAGTAGGTGTTCCATCATCAGCTTGGCAGTGAGTTTCTTTTTGGCGAGGTAGTGGGGAGTGTCAGCTGGACTGGACCTAGTTCGGCTATACAGTCGAATCTGCAAGATCTGTAAGTTCTGTTGCAGGCAAAGTAACCTTTGGGAGTTGTGAATGTTCGACCTTTGGCAGCAACAGCGTCCCAGACGGGGGGACCTATACGGGGTGCAGATCATGATCAAACAGGTGGCCGGCCACGGCCCATGCTGGATGAGGCAAGACCTGGCAAGCTGGTGAGTGAAAAAGTCAACCGGAGGAACAAACATCAGGAGGTTTAGGAAGCACGTCAGCAGAGGATGGCTCCATTCCATATGTAACACACACACACACATACACATGCACATGTTTGCACAGGCAGGAGCAAGTGCAACTTGACGAGCCAGACGAACACCCTTGCAGTGAATAATTCCAATAATTCCTGATATGATTGTGTGCCTCCATATTCAGTTGGCAATTGTTCCAGCACAGATTGCATCGATCACCCCTAGATCACCCCCATCTTCGGTCCTGCCTGTGAGGCGACACTGGCGAGCATACAAAAGGCTGGAAGATGGAGGGGTTTCATGACGTTGGCTCATCACCAAAGGACTTAGGGGCAGTTTCTTGTAACGTGTATATAACCATTTCCTTTCGCTGTTTGGTTTGTCGGCTGCAGACTTTTGATTAGATGGCAAATGGAATGAGGGGGGTTCCATTGCAGGCCTAGACAGGGATAATTACATATCAAGCAAGATGAGAAAAGCAAACATGAACATTTGGCAATGGGTAGGAAGGCAGGCAGCCAAAAAGGTGTTCTCCCAGTCTTTTTCAAAGGTGTTTCTTAATGGTACTCCTACTGCTAGAACATGCTAGATCTGTTCCTACGTGTTGAATACTACTACCTTTACTACTGCGACGACGACCACTACTACCACGATCATGATCGGTGAACGGCAGAAGGATCCAGAATATTCCTGCTCAAAGACTCGCCCCAAAGTGATCAGGGAAGAACCCCATCTCCTCAACAGCTCGGTGGGTCTTTGGGAATCAATCCCCTCTGGGCCGCGGCCTCGATCCAAGCTGGGCTCCTCGATCCAGCTCGATCCGCGGCGCGACGGCCCGCGACGGCCCGCGGTGTGTGTCGCTCGCGGTAGGCCATCCCTAGAAGTTCCTCCACGATCGGCACGCGAGTGGGGAGCCGATTGGACGATGGACGGGATCGCTTGAGTTCTGCACACCAAGCCTTCAAAGGTGTATAGGATGGATGGATCTTGCAGTTGTGAGGTCTGAGCGCCAGGATGTTTGGCTGATATTAGAATCATTGGATGAATTGAATTTGGATTTCAAAGACTGGGTGATTGCAGTGGCACCGGTGACGAACCACCCTCCTTGGGGCGTCAAAAGTTCGAGAAATCTTGAGATGATGAACATACTTATATAACTTATATACCCTCCCTCCAGCAAGCATGGAAGTGGACAACTCCCTGTTTGTACAGGAACATGGTCTTTCTGGCACCTGGGTGCCATCCCTTTCAGTGGACCACCCGGATCCATCCGGACCACCTCCGCGGTGGACCGCCAGGTCGTGAATGCTGTGGACCGCCTTCTGGCCTCGCATCAAGTGAAGCCACGCAGCTTGGTCGGAACGAAACGGTCGCAGCTGGGGGTGGTCGAAGATCAGTTCCGATGTGGTTCGTTCCTCTTCGTGGCAAGAGGAATGTTCAGGTTCTTGTTAAACATAAGTCATGTGCAGAGAGCAAGAGGACGTTGAAGAGCGATGGGGAAGTGCAGTCGAGGTCCAAACTTGGCCCTCTTAATTGGGGCGAGCCTGCCGATTCTTTGTCCAGATCACACCACTTCGTGGCAAGTGACCAAACCTTTAGTGACCACAGGCCTGCTTGTGTGAAGACCCAATTGACAATTGCTTGAACGACCGCGTTTCCGTATGGGTGTATAGGGTAAGAATATTACTTAATTCATCTTAATTCCAAACATCATCAGACATATCAGACATAAATGACATAAATAGTGCCAGAGAGCGGGGTGACAGATGAGCAAAAACCTTGCCCTTAGAATACGACATGCAGATAGAATGTTGTTTTCTTCTTGATCCATTTGATGGAACAATGTCTTTGGATGGAACGAGCAACATTCAGTTCAAACTTCAAACAGGTGGTGCTGCAATGGAGTATTTTTTTGTAATGTTTAATTCTAACTGCTTCCAACTGCCTTTATTCTAGCTGCATACTACTCTAACCCTGCACATGTTTTTTTGAGGGTATTCTAACTGCAACTTAATTGACTATGTTTGAACGTTCTAACTGTTGGTCTTATACTATAAAAGATAACATAATCTAAGAAGAGTAGTATATATATTTATCTCGTAAAGTCTGTTGCATTATTCCGTTTTGGTCAGGCGTTTTTAGGGCGCTCGAACCTTAAACATAACATGAAGGGGTACTTTGACAATAATTGACACTCAACCCCCACCGCGGGGCTCTCTTCCAGCGGAGCTGCTCTCACAACGTTCGAGCGATGGCGTAGTTCATGCTTTTTGCACATGAAGCTCCCAACAGAAAGACTGGGAAGCAGGTAACCATGACCAAGAAGCAGGTAAACATCAAGCGTAACAGAGAGAGTCTGAGTTTCTGCTCAATATTTCAGTGGCATTCAAAGCTTGCGTAAATGGCATGCAAACAATCAGCTCGGTCAAACCACAGAGAGATGTCAAGGACGGGTAACCATGATGAAGGTCAACCACTACAAGGAGTGCACAGAGTGTTTAGTTGTGGTAGAAGGGAACAAAGGCAATGACTGAGACAGAGGTGGCCCTCTGTTGACTGACGAAAGCCAAATTCAGAAATTCTATGTCGGAGGAAAGGGCACTGTTTGCCACCGAGAGGTCTTGAGGCATGCCTACACGCCAAAACCATGCATGTCGTTACAGCATGGGTGCCGGGACATGATAGCAATCAGCACAAAAGGTCCAATTGTCTCTCGGAGCAGTGGGTCATGCAAATCCATGTGCATGCTCGTTGCCCACTCCAGTGCCCATGGTTTTGTCCTCGTTCCAGGTGGGTTGCTTGAAATATAATATATATATATATAGTATCTTCTTCTAAGTTGAAGCTGGAGTGCTTGTGGCTAGCCAATAGAAAGTCGTATTTGATGATGCTCTCCTCGATCTAGCACGAGCTTGATCGAGTTTGTAGAGGAAAACAATTCCTTGGTGGTTCCAAGGTGTCTTAAGGACTATTTGGAGCACCCATGACTGATATTTGAAGCCCAAATCAGTTTTAGGACCAAGACCACACACCCAACCTCCAAGACCACCCCACCCTACGGGACCTCCGTCTCCACGCCGTGTCTCTCCATCGGTTTCTCCAGGAGGGCCTTCGGGAGTTGATCTGCGACGTGGAGATTCCGGAGACGGTGCCCGGTGGCCGAGTAGGATACTCCGGACTCGAGTCGCGAGGCCAGGAGCCCCTACTGTTGTAGCGTCCGTCCTCGCTCCGGACTCGAGTCGCGATGCCCTTTGTTACGAACTCGTAGCGTCCTCTTGTTCCTTTGAGAAGGTGCGGTGGAGGTGTTGGATTTTTGACGAGTGAACATGAAGGTGGAGCTCTGAGAACTTGCGGAGGTAGTTGGATGTAGTTTGCTTAGCAAGCAGGTTAGATCCTGGCAGTATTTTTTTAAGTATATTTTTGTTCGACAAGAACATCAATGTCACCAGGGGCAAAAGACATCAACGCGATCAAATGCAATCCTTTTTTTGGGGGTGCAAAAGTGCGCAGAAATCATGTCACACCGTCACCCAGTGATGTCGCACGTGATTGGACCGACTGATGCGCTCCTCGAGGTCGCCGGTGGGCCTTCAACGAGCTCTACAGGTCTCCCTGGAGGCCAAAGCGCTGAGCAGAAACCCATTTTTGGTCAATTGTATGTGTGCTGTATAATATATTATAATATATGACATATATATAAGATTATATAAGGGACACAGCTTGACCGTTTATGAAGTGGAAGTCTCAAAACAACGCCAGTGTCTTTGCTCTGAGAGGCATTCCAACTGGCAGTACAAAGAGGTTGTTTAGTTGCTGTTCCTTTTTTCGGCTTCACCAATTTGGCCCAATACCGTCGGTGCTCCGAACGCCGTCGTTTCCGTCGCAGGGGGCCGAAGGGTCGAGTTTGCTCCATGCGTTGCGAATGGCCTGCGCTCAAGTGAGCCACTGGCTCAGAATGTTTGGACTTTTCACATGTGAATGGCACTTTTGGCTGGATTGGAGTCAGAGTGTTGGACGGTCAAGAAGAAGCGCCCTGTCTGGTCTGTGAATGCACTGATGTAGGGTGAGATCCCAAACGGACAAGCCCAGACCAGATCCCCAAAATTTATTTCGCACATCTGCCAGAAACGATGTGAGTAAGGCACTCTCGAAGTGGAAGTCAGGTGCGAAAACCGGGCACGGGGAAGTACGTTTTCGGTACTCCAGCAGGCCACAGCGCTACTGTTGCTCCAGCCTTTGAGGTGACAAGGAGAGGAGGAATCCACACATTTGGCATATGGAAATATTCAGGACGTCTGGTCATGTCTGGTCCTCAGGGTACCATTTGCTTCGGAACGTGTAGCCTATCCAATCGCAGATAGATTTCTGATATTTTCTGATGATTTCTGCCTCGCTGACTTCCTTCCTCGATCACGAGTTTTTTCTCGAGGAAAACTTTGAACCAGGAAACAGTTCACTGGTTAGTTAGGCATCTTAGTGCAATTGTCGTTATGGTTTGTTAGCGACAACTGAACAAAGGGGCTGAGGATCTCCAGGTGATATTTGTTTGCTGCTGAAAAGAGTTGCTCCCTCGACTCTCATCTATATGCATGATGCCCCACAAGCATGTATCAGACCACCACTCTTGGATTTGTGGCCAATCGAACATCTTCCCACTTAACTTTTTTGTTACTTGTCACATCTCCAGTTCTTCCTCGGCAGTTCTTCCGGTTTTGAACCCGGTCGAAGGCCCTCGACCGAGCGGCTGGTGAGCAACCTGCGGATGGCCATCCCCTCCACCGGCATCAACGCGCGGCGGGCGGACACCGTCATGGAGGCAGCGGAGACGTGCGGAGACGTGGCGACGTGGGAGTAGCCAAGTTTGGGGGATGTCACAACCAGCCGAGACAGTATAGTGGTTGCTGGGTCGATGGTTGTGGTTAAAGAAGTGAGACATCATGGGACTGAGAGGAGGGTTGAAGCTGAGGGAGGTTTTAACTGATCAGGGAAGTGTGTGATACTGGACAGCTGAACCAATCACTGTGCATGATGACCACAAGGGAGTATTTTTAATTTTGGAAGAATGATTTTCTAGTTCTTTTTTTTCGAGAGGGGTGTTGATAGGGGTTCGGGACACAGAATGCTGGGGGAAACAATTTCTGACTTGGATAGGGAACAACGGCGAGCGTGTAAAAGTGCTTGAGAAAAACATGTTTTAGAAGTGGAGATCTCAGATGAGTCGCTTCATCAATTCTACACATGAAGCCCGGATCAGATCAGCAAGAAGCCTTATCCAAGTTGCGCACAGGCCGCTCTGAAACGCAGCCGAGTCTACAAGCCGTGGACTCAGAGCAGCCTTTGCCACAGGTTCTTTGGGTATTGACCCCGATATGCTTGAAGTCTCTTTTTTACTTGCTTTGATAGACTTTATTGAATACACAAGGATGGGTGACCTACACTTTGACGAAAAGTAGAAAAGAAGTGGACAAGATCTCGTCGTGGTATTCAGCAAAAGGCTCTGCTCTCACATGGTCCATCCACTTCGTTCGTCGTGTGTTCGTTGGAGCGAACATGAATTCTGGATGGATGGCCTGCCCGCTTCAGGGTGAAGACGTTGGACTTCCTAAGAGCAGGGGTCTATGTTTAGTTCCTACTGGTGCTCGGCCATAATGAACCTTAATGAACCCTCCAATTGACATTCCATTCCTTCCAGATCTTGCAGTAAGCACTGCCGGCACTGCCTGCTCGATTCCATGGGATCCGGGAGTTCGCACTGCCAGGGGCTTGTTGGACTCCCCTGGCATGGCAGGGCTGGTCGCCAGGCGTGAGGACGAAGTGGACGAAGTGGTAGGTTTAGTCCACATGTCTAAACAAATACTAAATACTGTATATATATTATATATACATATATCATATATATATATATAAGTGTCATTTTACCAGTCAGTGAGTATTTTTACGGTATCCTTCTGCCAGCGGTTTAGCTGGGTTTAGATGGGTGAGTCTGGTGAACATGGCGGTCTCAGACCGCGAACAGTCGTGACCTTCACGTCAGGCCAAGCAAATGCCTTTGTGGTTCGGACCCTTAGTTGGAGGCCACCCGCTTGGCCTGGCCAACAAGCCGGCCACCCGCTTGGGCTCACTGCAGCGTGAGCAGTTTGGAGGGTGAATGGTGGGTGAAGGGTGGAGCTCCATTGCCTACTTGGGCCTAAATTTCTCATATCAACAAGGGCAGAGAAGGCCAGCTAGTAGTTGCATCTCTTCCGACTCCTGACACGTCGTCTATCGGCTTTTCCTTGGCCTGATCCGTCGGCCGAAACATCGCACGGACTCACAGGTTGCTGTTGCTCGATGGATTCTCATCAGTTCAAAGTTCCCCGAACTGATTTTCTCAAATCCTGTGAATCCGCCATCGACCCCTGATCCGTCGGGCCCAGGGGGTCAGCTCGTGCCTCACCTGCCAGAGACCCGACGCGATCCTCCGTGGCATGGAGCCACTCGGCCCACGGCCTGGGGAAGTGGAGCCGGGGGACCACTCTAGTGACCCGGTAGGGAGAACATGTTCCTTCATAGACGAGTGTGGTGGAGCAATCATGGGAACCAAATCCTAGGAGGTGTTGATATTACTTTGGGAGATGGGACAGCTTGTGACTTTTGAGCCTGAAGACCTTTTTGGGGGGGCATGCAAACTGAATGTGCTTGCAGACCAAAGGTGCCCCCCCACTGAGATGACAGGGGTTCCCCGCCCACAAGCCTGACGATCCCTCCAGTCGAGGATCTGTTATCCTTTCGCCACTTTCGACAGGATGTTGGTCCTTGGCCACTGAACCATGCGGACCGTTTCAAGGGGTCGAACATCCGCGCGGAGCGCCCGACGAAAGCGCCCATCGGAGCGGCGAAAATCCGCAGGTGTTGGGTCGGTGTGTCCTCCCAACAAAGCATCCAGGTGAAGGAACTCTCTGGACTCCTAGCTCTAGCAGGGGCTGCACACAAGCAGTTGAAGGACTGGAGATGGGCTGTTGCTTGCTTGTGGACCAGCTAGCATGCTTTCTTTGCTGAGGGGATGATAAAGTAGTGGAATGCTGCGAATTACCCCTCGAAGAGTTGAATGCGTCCACAACACTTGTATCGACAAAATACCTGATCCATCATGATCCACTGATCCACGCGAGCACATGCACTACTTGAGCTGTACTGAAGCTGTTTGCATGTCTTTGACCCGTGGAACTTCAGATATAGCAACTACAACCTGATACCATGACATATTCAATATTCCAACCATAAAGCTACTGTACAGACACATCTTGGTGAAATTCCTCTCATCCAAGGTGTTGCCCTGTGCTTTTTTTGGTCACCATAGGAAGCCTTGGCGCCCGGCAGCAGCTGGGCCAAAGGCGTTTGGGGCGACCAGGCCAGGTGGTCGGCTAGTGCTATCAGGTGACTTGCGCAAGCTATTTCTCGTTTTTTCTTTAATCATCAGGATTGAGCTTCCCCTTCTGAAACCGAGAAAACCACAGAATCCGGAACCCACTGTGCTTAGATGAACCATGATAATGATAAATAAACCTGTTGTTCTCAACATGCGAAGACATGGCTTGAGATGTCGTCTCCTGCTTGCAAGCACCAGGAAAAGAACATGTGGTTTGGCCTTCCGTGGCTATTTGCGTTTCACCCAATCTTCCTTCAAGCCCTGCAAAGCGCCACCGTACGCCACGAAACACAGCTTCCGTGCGCCAGGTTGCCCGCACGCATGGTTGCCGGACTTTCAAGGGAAGCACCACGCTTCTGCCCAAGGGAAGCTTCTTCGATCCAGGTCTGAGGCTCAATATCTCAAAGCCACGTCACGAGAGGTCGGGCAAAGACAAAACTGCGTGGAGTTTCTGATCCTCAAAAAGATGATTGGAGGGAACAGCATAACCTGTACTGTATGTTGTAGATGAGTACGTACTTTGTGTGAAACAACATGAAACAACATCATCAAACCCTCATTCTGTCAATGAGGAACTGCAGAGGCATAGGTTGTTGTTCTGCTGGCCAGAAGTATCCCACACTCACACCATCAACAAAGTTCCACACCCACTGTGGTCCTATGGCATGCAATCCAAGACAAGAAGTTCCGTGTACTGACCGGCCTCTCCTCTGAATAGCCTGTTGCCAAAAGTGTGCGAAAACATATATAAGCAGTGTGAGAAAACATAACCAATAAGAATGAAACATGCGCCCGCCACTCAGTTTTTTTGTTCTTTTTTCATGGATGAACCCTCCTCAGTCAAAGTGAGGATCAGTCCTGACCCAGGCGGGCCCATCATGAACATGTCCCGCCACCTCTGAAAGCCCAAGCATGAACATGTCGAAAAGGACGGCAAACGGGTCGAATGGCGTCCAGACCTATGTCTGCAGTCCAGACGTTTGATTGGGAACAAAAAGAAAAATTCCAACAGTGCATCAGGGCTCCGGCTCAGAGGGTTGGAGCCCAGGTGTCAAGAAGAGGGAAAAGCTGTCCGAGGATTTGCTGTTGGCCCAGCGCGTTTACGAACAGCAGGCACGGGCATCGTTTGTGACCAAAGAAAAGAAGGAGTTGGCCGTTTGATGCGGTTTGGCCAGAAAACAGTTTGTGCGTCAAGGATGATCTGTGATCTGCCAATCATAAGGTCATTTGAGTGCGTGACCCGGAATGAAGATTTTGAGGGGGGTGCCAGTCAAACAATCCGCACCACAGGTTCTGGCCACATGAGCTCAAAGCAACGCTATTTCCATCCACATTTGGGTAGGTCCAATGTTGCTCCACAAAAAAAACTCCCCTACAGGCCCTACAATAGTTCCTTACACCTTCTTTCCGGTCGCACCGCCCACCCACCCAACATCCACTGTTTCAACTTCCGCCCGACGAGTCGGACGGTGCTCCCTCCCTCCCTCCCTCCCTCCGGCTTCGTCCGCAGGATACGGCGGCCCACGACCTCTTGGCCTCTGAAGTGCATGTCCATTTCGATTCCTTGAGCCACTTGACCGATGGGGGTTCGGCAGGAGAGATCGGAGAAAGGACCGGGGGCAACGCACGGTTCGTGTTTTCTTTTTTTCATTTTTCATTTTTCACCAAACAGTTTACTGTTAGGGGTTCTCAATTCTTTCTTAAGATGTGTCCGCCCTTTCTGTCACTGCTGATGTCCGCCCTTTTCCGCTGGCCATGCAGCATTTCTATTCATTTGTCTCCCAGGTGATTTCTTTCCTTTTGTCTCCCAGGTTCGGTGCCTGCACTGCTGGTGTCCGCCCTTTCCGCTGGCCATGCAGCATTTCTATTCACTTATCTCCCATGTGACTTCTTTACTTTTGTCTCCTGCACTGGTGTCCGCCCTTTTCCGCTGGCCATGCAGCATTTCTATTCATTTGTCTCCCATGTGATTTCTTTACTTATTCCCCGAACAGGTTACTGTTAGGGGTTCTCAATGCTTTCTAAGAGTGTCGAGTGTCGCGTGTCCGCCTTCCGTCCGGCTTGTCACCCTTTGTCTCCCTTCTTGTTGGTCATTGTGTCCGCCTTGTCTCCCTTCTGTCTCCCTTTGTCTCCGGTCTTGTCTGTCTTCTTGTTGGTCACTGTGTCCGCTTGTCTCTCCCTTCTTTGTCTCCCAGCTCCGGACTGCTGTCTTTGACATTTGTCGCCCAGCTCTCAGCTGCTGTGTCCCCCTTTGCCTTACAATCCTTCACATTTGTCTCCCAGCTCTGGGCTGCCGTGTCTGCCTCAGCCTTGCAATCCTTTACACTTGTCTCCCAGCTCTGGGCTGCTGTGTCTGCCTCTGGCTTGCAATCCTTTGTCTCCCAGCTCTGGACGTCGCAACCTCTAGTTGCAGAGTGTTCCGATTTTGAGGCTTGTTAAAGACCAGGGCTTGGTCATCTTCCCATTAAGAGCTTGATCTTTTCGGGGATCTGGGGTTGAAGAACTCAGGACTCGGCTCGGGTTTGCCAATTCGTCCATTTGCCATCAAGCGACATGTCAAGTGCACAGCTGAGACCCGTCAGGCTTCCAGATGCGTCATGTGCCGGTACGCCGTCGACGGCAGCTGCTCCGCGCCGGACGGTGGCCGGCTGCTCTCCTGAGGTGATCTCTGTGAGGCCTGGGACATTTTAGAAAGCAAGATGGAGGTTGTTTGGGTGAAGAATAGGCGCGGATGGATCGCGGGTGGATGGATTGCAGCTCGATGCTGCATGCGGCTCTTTTTAGATCTTTTTAGTCTTTTTTGTGTTTGGTCCAAAGTATCCAAATCCAAACGTCCATGTCATGAGAGTGACGGATGGAGTCTTGTCTTGGTCTATGGAAAGCATGGGGTGCCCACGACGCTTCCTTTTGAGGATTGCTACTGGATGTTTCATATCAAGAAGAGCTCACCATTCGGGAAACATGAAAAGACCCCCCAGGTGTGGTGCTGACTTGTTTAGCAAAGGATGATGTGAATCTTGGATAGATTGGCGTTTTTGTTTTTTTCTTATACTGTTCATACCTGGTTGAAGATCAGACCTGCAAGTCTATGTTTGTTGCTTTTCAGGTCTATCAATCACTAAGGGCGAAGCTGCACAAGACAGACCATGACAGACTTATATCCAGGCACTCGATCCATCACAGGCACTAGGCACCTGGGTGATGGGAAGCTGCACCGGCAGGTTTGGAGAACCGGACTTCTTTGGATATCCCTGTGTGCAGCTCCTTGGGCAGAATTGGCGAATCTGGGCCACCGGAATGGTACCGAAGAGCAGCTTCTTATAGTTCTTTTTCAGGAAGAGTGATGGCCTCCAACCTAGGAGCGTTGGGAGGGAGAAGTGTTTCAGGAAACCGATGCTCTTAGGCATCGAATCTCCAAATTGACATCCTCGTTGAACTTGTCGAGACTGCTGGAGGCAGTTCAAGCGTTTGCCTTTTTGTTTTTCTGGAAGACAAGTCAGACTAGGAATCCCCGAGTTGGTTGGAATTGGCACCTGACTTGCTTGGTGTTGTTCTCCCACCCCAAAACCACGGCATTTCTGCCTAGATTGTTTGGGGGGATCAATTTTAGGCCGGGGTGGCATCTCTCCCAGTCCCAGACAGGTCGTATCGAGCGGAAGTCGACCTGCGGTACGCATGGCCTTGCCGTTATTTGCGTCGATACGGAGATACGTCGTGACGTGTGTGTCCATTTCCTCAGTGAGATGTGGTCACCTATCCTGATCCTCAGGATTGGTGTTGAACAGCAGGTCCAAGATCCTCGCTACAGCAGCAAGGACACAGATGCCAATATTTCACAGTTGCCCATTTCCGCATTGCTGAAAGTAGGGCCAAGTGGGGCATTTTTGAATCAAAGCCACCCTGATTGGAGCTCTTCTCGTCCATTTCAGTCCATGTACTGCTGTTCTTTCTTAGTCGACAAGCCCAAGGGTCGACGACATTGATAAAGATTTGATAAGATTTGCATCAGGAGTGCATCCTTTCCTACATTAGCCAGATCACCTTGCACTACGTGCCTCTCTTTGAGGCTTCACCGGTCTGCCCAGTTGGCGTGTGAGGAAGCAAAGCGAGATCGACTGTGACAATTCTTCCAGATCCACTCTCCGTGCCGTGTCTAGGAAGGGACACCACAATGCACTAGCAACATAGCTCAAAGAGATTGAAAACTCTCGAACCCCAACTCCCTTAGATCTTAGAGAGTTTTGTTGAAGAAGATTTGCTTGAACTCACCGTTTCACAGTTTCCCAATGGCCCTCTTCAGGCAAAGACAAGTCCAACTGCGCGAAGACTTCGGGAGGACCCGGAAGACGTAAGGGTAAAGAGTGGGATGGTGGGGTTGAGGGATGATGAGGGTATGTATGTTTTGTTTTGAATTGTTTTGCCGATATTTGACATCGGGCTACCTGGGGAGAATCTGAGGGTTTAGGGAGGGGGATAAAGTCGAGTTCCGCAACTGCGCAGGATTCCGCAACTAGGATTCCGCAACTGTTTGGTCGGATTTCGCAACTGGGATTCCGCAACTGGGATTCCGAAACTAGGATTCCGCAACTAGGATTCCGCAACTAGAGTTCTGCAACTAGGATTCCGCAACTAGGATTCCGAAACTAGGATTCCGCAACTGTCAAGATTCCGCAACTAGGATTCCGCAACTAGGATTCTGCAACTGGGATTCCGCAACTGGCGTTCCGCAACTAGGATTCCGCAACATTGTGGACTCCCTCACTAGGATTCCGCAACTTTGTGAATGATGAGGGATGTCGAGATCACACGATGGGGACAAGGGGGGGTTGGGGGGTGGGGGGGTTGGGTGGGGGGCTAATGACGTTGGTTTGGATGTGCTTCGAAGGTGATGTCACAGGCACACACGCTATCGCATGATGTGGAGATCACCAGTTGCAAGCTTCAGAAGGCAAGTTGCAGAATCTGACTTTCCAGTTTCAGAATACCAGTTGCAGAATCTGACTTTCCAGTTTCAGAATACCAGTTGCAGAATCTGACTTTCCAGTTTCAGAATACAAGTTTCAGAATCCCAGTTTCAGAATCCTAGTTTCAGAACCCCAGTTTCAGAATCCTAGTTTCAGAACCCCAGTTTCAGAATACCAATTTCAGAATCCAAGTTTCAGAACCCTAGTTTCAGAACCCCAGTTTCAGAACCCTAGTTTCAGAATCCGACCGATTAGTTTCCGAATCCGGCTCTAACCTTAGGGAGGGCATCTCTCAACAACTCTTTTTCCTCAACAGCGAGTCTCCGGGGTCTTCAGCCACAGTCAAGACTTTGGAGCAAGTTGAGCAGGTTCCGAAGCAGGTTCCGAAGCAAGTTCCAGAGCAGGTTCCAGGGCAGGATCCGGAGCACGGAGCAGGTTGTCAAGACCAAGGTCTGGAGCGTTCCGGGACCCAGGAGGTTCTGGAGGAAGTTCCGGAGCTTCCGAACCAGTTTTCGGGGCAAGGTCTGCACACATCCCGGAGTTCCGGTCCAAGCCTCCCAGCAGCTTGCAGATATGATATTGTGTTGACATTGTCATGATGTAGTGCTGACATGTCATCATGCTGACATGTTGTCATTCCGTCAGGCTGCCACGCTGTCCTCAACCTCCTTCCGCTTTTTAGCTGTTGGCTTGGCGTGGCGTTGCCGCGCCCGTCAGTTTTGGTGCCCGCCCGCCCTGTTCTCCTCATCCTTGCATCAGGCTGAGCAGGTGCTGGTTGCAAGTGGCTTTCCTGGCCAAGGACGGTGCGGAGCAGTGTGGAAGGCGGGCTCTACCTTCATCTCCTGCTGAATTTCAGCTCCACGCTCCAAGAATTTGATGTTGCCGTGAAAGCAACTTGTTCTTCTGAGGGATTGCGTTGGCGCCAGGGCTCTTGGCAGTTGGCCGCGCGTGTGTGCGTGGCAGTCCCTGGCCGCCCCGGGCTGTGGCCCTTGAAAGCACGTGCCTTCGCATGTTTAGGATGAGAGGAGTATGTGTGAGCTGCCAGTCATTGATTTGGCACTATTCAAAAAGTTGGAGGAGGATGTGGCCAAATTCGAAGGAAAGACACTAGGATTGTCAAACTTCTTGAACACTCTGCCACATCCACAACTTCAGATGTCAACTTGACATGCGCATGGAAGCACTGGGTAATGCGCGGGCAATCGTGGCTCTGTGTCTGGGTATGCCCGCAACCTTATGGTAATTTTATAAATTGAGGATGGGTGTCTTTCTCAGTTTTGTCAATTGTTTTTGTTGATTGGAATGGGTGGGTAGTGGGTGGGTCATGACTAATTTTTGAGGTGGCGGGGGGGCGCCCCCCAAATAATTTCTTGGTGTGCATGTGGTTGACAGGTCAGCCACCTTTGATTTATTCATCGTAAGTGAAGAAGACAATCTGGAACAGACTTTAACTCAGAATTTATTTTTTTTCGAGCCGGTAGGATTTATACTTAGAACCAAACGCGTGCACATAGAACCTCTCTCGATGATATTCAGGATGGACTAAGGACGGACTTGGAACTCTTAGGGTGGAGTGGGCTGGGCAGGCAGGGCGGTGCAGCACTTAGTGACTTGGTAGCCTAAGATACCAGGTCTCTTGCCCAGGACTTTGGGTTATGAATAAACCAGGTTTTGGGAGCGCCCAAAACTTTGGATACTGTACAGCTTGACCAGGTCTTTGCGAATACGCAGGGCTTTGGATACGACTATATATATATATTTATGGACCATGTTTTTTTGGATCGCGCAGGACTTTGGATACAAATTTACACTGCAAGAGGGATCGTCGCCTTCCGCTCCGGCCGCACCACCCGCCCCAGCCGCTCCACCCGTTCCACCCGCTCCACCTGCTCCGCCTGCTCCATCTCCACCCGCTCCATCCGCTCCACCCGCTCCATGCTCCGTCTTTGAAGCTGAAAACGGGTGTGTCTGCGTAGGATTTCAAATGCAGCCATCTCCAGTCTAGGTGGCCCCGAGAGAGGCCGACTGTGTTGAGGGTCGTAGGATCGTAGGGGTTTGTTTCTTGGCGGCGTTTGGGATTGGCCCCAGCCGAAGATCTTGATAGATCTTGGGTGAACTGATCTGATGTGGACTGCGTTGGACTGATTTGGAATGTGCAGAATGCCAAGAATGACAAGTGCGTAGTGTATATATATAGATACACGGTATATTACGTGCACATCCGTGCACTTTATATTCTTGTTCAAGACATATTTTCTTTGCTGCTCCACACTTCAGACTGATTAGAGATTATGCTCTCCCCCCCAAAGAGTTGGGGAACTTGCAACCCTATGGAAGATGCCAGAGAGAGCAGAGAGAGAGAGAGAGAGAGAGAGAGAGAGCGACAGGCTCCGCAGGAAAAGGCGCATGTTGCAGATTGGTGCTATGTTTGTTTTGTCTTGTGGCCAACAATGGTCAACCTGGCCGATGTTACAATAGAATTAATTTTTGGGCTGCATTAATCGAGACACTGTCATACCCTCAGATTGGTGTAATCTCTGGCAGGTGGGTAAGACCACCCTCAATTACTTTCAAAACCAATCAGGGGAGGGTGGTCGGGTGGTTTGTCCTTCCAATGTTGAGTAGGCCACAAGCAGTCAGCGTTCGCAACTACGCAACATGCAAGCCCACCCTCTTGTCCGTCAAATCATCACAGTCTTTCAATTCAAACAGCCGTATATTGGTTCCTGTGTTTGGTTCGCTTGGTTGACATGGAGCCGCGTGCCAACGAAGCGAATTTCCCGCGGGCGGACTGTTTGGATGAACTCACCGTGGCCAGACGCAAAAAGAACTATACCGCAAAGCAGCATTGTTTGGCAAAGACACAGCGCTTGTCAGTGAACTTTCGATGTGGTCATTGCCAAAGAGGCGAATTCATGCCCGACTGTTGGGGATTTTTCTTGGGTTTGTCTTGCAAAGTGCCAAATCAGGGAAGAGGCCGCGTGTGGATGGCAAATCCGGAACTTGGCTCAACCTGGAACTCTTTGGTGGGCATCAACCAATGATGGGCACACTGGTCTTTTCTCCTTCCTCAGGGGGGGTCGAACTGGGAGGTCTCCCCAATGGGGCCATGATCAACGTCTCTTCAGCTCCTTGGCGCTCTTCCAGCATCCATCTCAGTCGCCCGCGGGAGGAGCTGCAAGAAGCTCTGGCGAAGTGCGGCATCAACGGGAGCACCGTCCACTTGGCTGAGGCCCGAAGACTGGTGAAGGGGAGTGGGCGGCGGGTGGGGATGACGGGGAAAGTTCATGGCTTTCTGATGCTTTCTGAAAAGTTGGTTCACTGATATATAATTAAGAGAGAAAAAATCAGGGAACCTCAGCCTCAATGCTTTGTCCTCCAATCATTGGCCAGGTATCGGGGTCGTGGTTCCAGAAGAGGAATAGGATAAAGGTTCTTATTAGTCTCCGTTCCCCATGGACGAAAGCTGATTTTTGAATTTGTAGGATCTTTTCCATGAATAGTAGGATAGTTGCCTACATCTTTAGGATTCTGATGCCTCTTGGGGCGGGTGTCCAACGTGTTTGCTGCGAGACGCTGCGACGCTTGAACATGCAAGTTGCACCCTCCCTTTACGAGTAGCAGAACCCAGTTGTGGGTGTCTATCTCAAATTGGGTTTTCTCTCCACATATGGGGATGGCGCTGCTTTTTGTTTGGCTCTTCCATGAGGCTGTGGTGGCAGATTCAGCCGCCGGGGGGCCCTGTGATACTGGTGATCTGAAAAGAACACCTTGATTGATCAAGTTCCGCTGGCTTTTGCTGATTGATTCTTGCCCTTCCTTCATCCACTCTTGCTGAGAAGTACTCCACTGATCAATGACCATAGCCACCCACGGTGTCCAAGGACTGCACGCGCATTCAAATGCGGAGATCGGCTCTCAGCATTGCTTTCAGGGTGAATCCCTCAAAGCTTGGAACAAGATTCGCACCCGGATTATCAGAACATAGATGTCCACTGCTAGTGCTGGGAGTTCACGAGCGATTCGAGTGATGTGACAAACCTCACGCCAACACCTGGGCCTCGTCACAGTGTGGACAACCTGGAAGATCAGAATGGGACTTTTTCCCAAGAGCGAACTCGATGTTGAGCGCTGAAGCGGATGCGAATGCCATTTTTGATGCCTTGGGGACATTCAGGGTACTGTATATTATATAGCATATATATATATATAAATACATGGTTTCTTCTTCGTTGCAAGTTTTGTCACGGTTCTTCATGGCGTCCAGAGTTCAGAGCTGACGATGACACTTGGGGAGCAGCGTCGCGCGGTGGACTCAGGAAGCGCCATTGCAGAAGTTGAGCGTGTTTTGGCCTTTCTGGAGAGGCAGGAGAATGTCGATGAGCTGAAAAGTGAGTGGACGGGACCTATTTGGCAAACAAGACGTAGTACTGCGATCATCTTGGATTCCCGATGTCAACCTCTCGAGCCGCACTGAGAGGTATGCCATGCAGCTGGAAGAAGAGGCGGATTTCTAGTGTTTGACGCGAGAGACTGCCATGGAGTGAAAGGCTTGTGCGAAGTGCATCCAACAAAAACTAGGAGATTTGAACAAGAACACAGGACGGGAAAGCCATGCGATAAATGCGTGGTAGGTGTGGATGTTCCTTCATTACATTCATCCGCACCACGTGCGCTGCCCCGTAGCTCCGTAGCTCACTGTATGTCACGATCCCGGAGGAGCGTCGCCCCGCTTCGGCCCTCTTCTGGGACGCTGTGACGGTGGCGGAAAGCTTCGGTTGTGCCGGGCGCCCAAGTGGAGAACATCCCAGCGAGACAGGGCGGGTCTGGGCCATTTTTCTTGGTCGGAAAAGTGGATGTTTGGAACCACATGGAATCTACATCCCACAAATCATCATCATCCAGCCAACCTCGGAGTGGCGGGACATGTTTCATTTCGCTGCTGACAAAGGCTGCTCTCTGCCCAACGCAAAAGCATCGGAGCTCGTCCGACGTGACTGACGGAAGCGCCGATGGGCCTTCGGCCCGCTTCCCGCGCTGAGTCCCGCTCGGAGATTCTGAATGGGCTCTCCAGACACATGTCGGTGCTGGCCGGGAGCCCAATGAGAGACCCCGACTGGCAGAACAGTCTGGCCGCTGAGGAGAGACTCCGACTTGGACTTGAGAAAACTCTCTCTCCGGAGGTTTGTTTGACTTCAAAAACTAAAAACAAAGAGCTTTTCAGCTTTTCATAGGTTTTCTGTATGGGAAGCGCACCCGCATGCACCCGCTTCTGTTGGATGTGTGAATCGCTCCCCAGCAAATCCATGTCAAGGAAGAGGGGTGTTCGTGGTGGAAAGCCCCATGGTAGGGGAGATCACCATACCAGAGAAGATTGCCACAGATCAAACGCACAAAAAGGACTGCCATCGTGCAGAGTAGTAATATGATGCATCTGACAATGCTTACATGGGTTCGTAAGCTTTTCGTGCAAATTGTCCCACTTCCCCATAAGGCTACTGTACCATATACGCTCTTGGGAGGCTGGATCCACCGTGAATACCAACGGTAGAGTATCTGTATTGAGTCAATGACCGGTTCAAATCGGCAGTTCAACAAGATGATACTCCGCCACACTCATGTGCAGGTGAAGGCAACACTGGGCATCACGCTTCACCAAGTTTTTCAGGTTGGGCCACTGGGAGTGTTGGGTTAAGGAGGCCTCTTGGTCAATCTGGCCAGCCAGCAGTTGTCATGGGGCACACCCTCATGGTCAAGTCTATTTTGACTTTCTGGCTATTTGTGGTCAGGATCCGCTAGCACACATGGTCAAGGATGGGTCACACAATACAAGTCGTTTCGTTTCCTTTGGGGCCTTTGCAATCAGATCTTTGACCAATCTGCGTCTGAGTCCAGTTCGTACCTTGGGTGACCTGTTCTTTTTAAAGCAGGAGTTGGGCGAACAAGGTGGTATCCGGCGAACAAGGTGGCATCGTCATGGTCCTGCCGAGAGTCTTCAAGCCTTCACAAGCAATCCCTGAACGGTCTGATTGAACAAGATGTCTCAAAAAGATTGGCTTTAGGTTGGAGGCCATCGCTCTTTGGTTGAAGGCCATTGCTATTAGGCTGAAGGCCATCGTGCTTACAACGGATCCACAAGGCCATCGTGTTGCAATGACTTTCGTTCGCCCCTTGGCGGCGCAGTGCCCAGCCCGACGCTGTGCCTGGATCCGACGCTGTGACAAACTGTCAGCTGGAAGATGGCAGACGCCTGCTTCACAGGCCACTGGTACAACTGCTAGTCACTCGGTCTTAATCTTCCTGCCTTAATTGATGCTGAAGGTCTTTCGTAAGGAAGGTAAACGAAACACCCATATCATGGCCCCTTCAATGAACATCAATGAACATTTGACAAAGAAGCCGCAACAAAAGTGTCCACGGCAGGATGCCCCTCAGCCACCGGAAACGCAGGCGCAGAGTTGGAAAGGCATTGGTTGGTGGTTTCAGCTGAGAGGGATGTCCAACCATTTGGGACAAACTCAATCTCTTTTTGTTCGGGAGAACCTGGACCTTTCAAGCCACAAGAGTCAGGCCCATCCAGTTTGAGATTCCTTAGACACATGCTGATTTCTGTTCCCCGCAATTCACAAAAGGGGACAGTGGTCAAGTTCATCGATGGTGAGTCGGAAGAACCGAAGCTGATGGCTCGAACATGCGTCAGTCACTCTTTCTGCAGAAACTTGTTTCAATTCCATGTCCATGTCGGTCATCACATGAGCCATGTTGGGAGAGTTTCATAGAGTTTCCACATATTTCCACAATTTCCGGGGAGTCACCCACTCAACCTCGCCATGACCAAATCAGAAACTCCTCCCAACGGTCCACGAATCAGGCGCCACGGCGGCCAGTGCTAACCAGGACAGCGCTTTTTCACCGGTCGGGCGAAAAAACGGTTCGTTGCGACCGAGGAGTGGGTCCTGTGATTGGATTCTCACAGATTGATTAATAGGATTCTCACATTAATAGGATTGATTAATAGGATTGATTAATGGGTCCTGTGCTTGGTCCTGTGATTGGACTATTGAATACTATTGATTGATCGCCCCAGACGCAGATGTAAAACCATTCTGAGAATGGGGGGGGCTGAACATGCGGAACTTCTTGGACCGGCGCCCTCATTTCGCGCGCAGCAAGTTCGGTGGGGTGGACGGGTGTTGTACCCGAAGCGAAGTCACCAAGCTTCAGCGAGGATCACCGCGAGAGTTAGCTCCCTGAAGGTGGAGAGCGTGCAGCTTGGGAACCCAGGAATAGTGCAACTGAGAGGCTTGTGTGCTTTGGCTTCGAACGGCCGCCCAAAAAGTGTGACCCTAGAAGGACTGTAACTGACCAAACATAGATCAATACACCGATGTTGGATACAGCATCTTTGCTGTATACATCCATGCAACGTCCTGGAAGAAGACATCCATGTGTTTCTGTCTGAGAAGACGAAGGCGAATTCCAAGAGATTAGGCCGTAATTACCCTTAGTCACTGCTGTTGAAACATGTCACTAGATCGGCGTTTGAAGGAACGCCGAGTGTTCTCTAACCGAGCTTAAGCAACTGCATAGCACATGGAAAGGCCCCCACCTTCTGGATGAAGGCGTTTGTTTGTTTGTCGCTGAAGATGGAAATGCAATGCTCTCCCATCACCTTTGAACTGAACTCACACTTGTTGCTCACCAGGAGCCCCTAGTAGCGTCCTTGCTCCTAGTAGTAAGGCCAGGAGCCCGTAGTAGCTTCTTGTTCCTAGTAGCGATGTACCAGTTACTAGCTTGTTGTTTCGTCCTGCAGGTTCCACTTCAAGGATGGACTTCAGAAGGTGCCGCTGACGCCCGATCGCCGCCGGGGGAACCTCGAGTCGTCCGTGAGCCCGTCGTTGGTCGTGAGTTCGCAGGGCCGGCCGACTGCAGCCCTCGTTTATTTACGGCCAAAGTGCTGTATCACAGGAAATGACAAACCAAATGATTGCTCATGATTCATGATATTATGCAGTAAGTATGCAGACTTCTGGGGATTGGCAGTGAGAGTGAGAGCTGGGAGGTCTTGGGCATTGAAGTGGAAGCCTTTCAAGCTGAGCCACACATACTTTTATAATCTTTTATATGATCTTTTTTATGTGTAGAATGCGTCCCCACTTTCTGCTGTTTTGCACACACTCCATCCCTGCAAAACCACGTCATCCCGCGGTCCGTATAATTACGGATCCAATTGCCTCCGGACGGGCAAGCTGCGCCAAGCGCCGAAATGCCTCACCCAGAGAAGATGCCTCCGGACCCGCTCCGTGGCTTCATCCGTTGGAAAGAGGAAGACACGATAAGACATGACTAAGCGTTCGTAGCGTCGGATCGCTCCGTTCGTAGCGATGCCCTTTGTTGCTATAGTAACAAGAATGCTATTATATAGTAGTAAGGCCAGGAGCTACTAGTAGCGTCCTTGCTATCCTCAAGTGGCTTTCATATGCTTAATATTATGCAGCATTTCCTGCTTCTTCGTGCTGAGGCCAATCCTTGCATGGACCCTGGCCTGCAGATGGAGACAGTCTGGGTTTCTCACGACCTCCTTCGGACTACAATGTATGTTGGCATATCGGTTCTTTGGCAGTTGCAACTGGTTCCAATTCAGTTCTGATGGAATACTGCGTCAAAGCCGGGATTTGCAGGGAGCTTGCTGCAATGTTAGTCCAGTAGCATTGACCCACATATTGTGACCTTCATGCAATGCACGTAGCCTGGACATACCAGTGAGTTCTGATTTGAGTCAGCAGCCTCGAGCTGGTTTTCGATGAATGCCACTTCAACAAACGTGTCAGCCGTGAGTTTGTTCCCTCTGTCCCTTGTTCACGCAATTACAACCCCTCCTGATGGTTCAAAGAGGGTGGCCTGAGGACCCCGTTCCGGTAAAACATGGTGAAACCAGTGGTGAAACCTCCTCATCAACAACCACCAGGTGTGTGGCCCTTGCGCCACGGAGCGCCACGGAGCGCCGTTACCCCGGTCCCTGAGGGTGAAAGCTCAACGGGCACAAGATGTCTTCCAGCCGGTCCTTGGACCTTTGACCTACCAAGGCACGGTCAAAAGATGCCAACTGTTGTATTGGTTGGCTTTGTTTGTTATTTGTTAGAGTTATATAAGTTGATTTTGTATAACTATATTTGGGGGTTCGGGCTCTTCCAACCAACAAAATGAACAGGATTCTCTTAAAGAAACAGGCCCTTGGATGAGCCATGTACCACGTCTTGAGAGATCTCTTTGTGAATTCGACGTGATAAAGTAGTGTGGTGTTCGGGCGCGGTTTGCAGCCTGATTAGTTGTAGATCCTTTGACATGATCCTTTGGAACATCTGAAGGCAGATGCGAGTAGGGAATCGCTTGGTCGAATCGAAACGGAGGAAACGGAGCCGCTTGCGACCTCAACTGGTCGGTGGTCACCAGTAATTAACTGATCACAACCTCCCGCAACTCTTTTCCTCCACCCAGGCCGAAGGAAGAGTTCCTGTGTTCCTCACCATGGAAGAGTTATTACTCTTCGCAACCACACCCATGGTTGTTGCGCGTGTGTTTTTGTTTGCGCTCATTCAGCAGTATATAGATGTTTCCCTTGCATGAATTCTTGCATGACACATTTGATGTATTATGCAATTCAGTGGTTTGTTCTGCGCAGGCCCTAACCTCATCGATTTTGCCCAGCAGAAGGTACATGAGCTGCTGCGTTCGCACTTGATGGATGGGGTAAAGCCCAGCTCACGAAAAGACCTTCATCACAAATGGAGTCCACAGTCATAAATGATGCTTGAGAAGTTATATTGGTTGGGGAATCACATGAAGCTTCTGAAGGTAGATTGTGCAGAACATTGTGTGTTAGGCATTGTGTTGGTAGATTTGTAGATTTGTAGTGTAGAATTGAGTCTAGAGTCTAGAAGGAACGTCCCAAACAAACATAGGCGTGAGCGTGAGCCCTGAGCGAAAGCCACCCACCCCAAATATACAAGGTTTTTGGTTCGCTTCGACCCGCACATCATCTTTTTTATGGGTTCGCTCGAGGTCCTATCTGCTGGAAGATCAGATGCCAATGAAGGTGCTGATGCCTCCAGTACCTGGGATGAGTGAGTGAGGCGTGTCTCGAGTGTGCAGTTGCCCCCCTTCCCCCCCCTTAAAAACATTGTAAAATGGGGGTTCTGGGGAGTTTTGGTTCATCAATCACCTCGTTGAGCCTTTGTCTTTTTTCTGGGGTCTTGTTATGCGTGTTTTAGGGTCATAACTTTCACTTCATTGTTTGGATTGAATGAAGGGGATAATTGTTGAGGTGGTCAGAGTTTCTATGTGTAGGTTTAGGTTCAAATTCTACCAAGCTGTTCTTCAAAGATGTCGAATTATATAATGTCCGCTTTCAACTGCTCCGCATCAATGGCAGTCTTCACATCGCTTTTTGTTGTTTCTTTTCCTGAAGTGGCTTACATAGGTGATTATAGCGATAGTTATGTTTAGACATATACTTACTTATTACAGTCAGAAGACTCATTGCGTTGGTTTCTGGCGGAGTAGTTCTTCTGCTTCAACTTGTTCATATCGGTCTTGGTCATCACTTGGGCTTGTTTAGGTTTCTCTTCTTCTTTTTGGTTCTTCTTTTTCTTTCGCCTCTTCGTTCTGTGATCCCTCTTGCTTATCCACTTAGTTTTTGATTTCTTCCTTTGCTTCTTCGGTTTCTATATCCTCAGTCATATATAATATTATACATTTTGATATATGTTTATAATGAAGTTATGGGGCGTGCTTATCAGTTTAATTTTGATTGACGACGCTTTGCTTGTTTAGGTCTTTGTAGAACATTTTTGTCTTGTCCGACTGCATCAAATCAACATATAGGAAGCCGCGGCGGTCATCCGTCGCAATCCTATATATCTTATCCAATGTCTTCTTGTCATACAATCCACTCAACTCCTCCAATATCGCTTCTAAGTCTTTTTGATTACGAAGTCTGAAGATGAAGAGTTGTGTAGCATTCTTTCTTACCACTGGTGATATTTGTGTGTATGACTGTGAAGTGATGAAGGTTGAGAACCAATGTCTCCCTTTCGTGAAGAGTTTGATGAGTTCCTTGCTTTTTCTTACCACTCGTTCGTTGTCCGCCCAGTCGTCAATGATGATACAGATGTAGTATAGGTGCTTGTATTCCTTCTCCTTCATATACTTTATTATTCCCTCCTGCGTGTCTGTGATGTTCTTTAAGTCCTTCTCCTCAAAGTTGTCAAAGTAGATGGGGTCTTCATCGGAGTGTTTAATGTCCATCTCGTTTTCAATGTATTTCTTTACAACCGTCCAAGTGTCATCTATAAAGACGGTGGGAGAAAATATGTATATCTTTTCAAAACAGTCTTTGTAGATGTCCATTATCAGATTTGTCAGTGCTACTGTCTTACCCGTTCCTGAAGGAGCGTTCAACAGTATTCTTGCTGGAAGCGGTGCCATATATCCATACTTTGATTGCTTACTGCTGTATTCCTTGTGCTTATAGGGTTTGATATTTATCATTGAACGATATTAAACATATTTTGAAAATATAATGTCTATATTCTTATTGAAGGAAACCATTTAGGGACAGTTCGCTTCAATCCGCATAAGTCGCTAATTAGTTTGATTTGCGATGGACTTGCCCCACCCAGTGTTTGACGATTGCCAAGTTGAATTCATATACAGTGTTCCCCTCAAAGCACAATAATTAGATTTTGCTATTGTAATATCTAATTATAGTTAAAAACCTAAATACATATATAGTATGACGCTTTCTGAATACGACGCTGACATAACGGCAATAGATGATATGGAAACTCGAATTACTGATGATGATAAATACCCCGTTGTCAAAGACTATAAAATAAAGCACTGTTGTAAATACACGCTTGAAGTATCAAAATTGATAATTACATATCTAAAATTTAAAATAAATGCCTCGCAAGAAAGCACATCCAAAGATTAATAAAACACCCTTACTCGAAGAGTATGGAAGATTATGAACTATCGGATGAAGAACCAACAATGATAAAACTGGATGAAGAACAAAAACTGAAGAGCACGTTTATCACCTTTGACGGTCCTTTATGTCACGGAAAACTACAATTGCAAAACACAATAGAAATCAACCCGAAGGGGATAAAATGTAGTTGTAATCCTTGTTCTTTCAACATATCAAAACGCGATAAGACTATGAACGTCAGCAGAGATGACAACGGAGACATCAAACTGGACAGTGAAGCTCACAGCATCTCGTTCAGTTGGAACAGACAAATCACACCAGAGGACAAAGACAAGGAAAGCACCAATCGGATGATTGCTGATGTGATGGGAACACCAAGAAGTGATTTAAAAACAATCATCTATACAAGATATGGCTTAAAAAAATGTTTTAAAGAGTAGATTTTGACGGGAGAGTTTTGACAAATAACTATCTAAATATATATATATATATTTAAATAAATAACTATATAAATACATATACATTATTTGAGTGATATGGATGAGAACACTGATAAACTCGCGGAACTGACAAACAAACTGAACAGATGTAATAAGAACATCAAAACCATAATGGAGACTTTGAAGACCATTGAGGAGAAACTCACTGAACCTAAAGAGGAGAAGAAAGATGATAAGGAAAGGATGGATAAAATCTTGGAAAAGAGGCAGATAGGAAGACCCGTCGGTTCGTGGGATGAGAAGAGGACACAATACTTGGAATGGATTAAAAAAGAAAAAAACACTCAACCTAAAGAGCAGACGCTTGAATACTACCAAATCTTTAAGGATGAAAAAGAGGGGACGTATA